ATCCCGGCGCTGGCCACGCCCTTGGATTCGGGGGCAATGCCTGTCTGGGGCTCAGTCTTGCTCCCCCACCTGTGGGGGGCCCGGCCGGATGCCCGTTTTCTCAGTGGGACAGGGAATGAACTGGGCGGAGCAGGTGCCTCTACGGCGGGTTCCGGGGGGGCTGGGGCGCGAGAGGAGCTCTCCGTGTGCTGTGCGGCCAGTGATGCACCCCGTTGTCAGCGGGCCACCTGCCTGGTCCCGGCCCTGGACTAGCTCCTTGGGGTGCCGGGCGATGGGAGCCTGTGTCCCTGGCTCTGGTCGTCACCCCACCCTCCAGAGGCTGTTCCCAGGGAGGTCCTGTCCTCTGTTGCATGTTCTCGGCCCGGCGTGGCTGTTCCCGCACGTGAGAGAGGACACGTGGGACCTCGGACCGTGCAGGTGACGCGCACACGTCACTGGGCAGCTGGGAGGCCGGACAGGAGGGGGCGCCTCTGCTAGCAGGTCACTAACGTGATGCGACATTGTATCCGTTCAGTGTGTAGCTTCCTGGTGAGCACATGCCTTAGGAAGTGACGGCCCCAGTAGGTCTGGTGCCCACCTGGCTCCGTGCAGTTATTACCGTGTTATGGACTCAGCTCTGCGCGCTCTCCAGTGACCCTGGGTCTCTGTAACTTTTCCTCCTCAGCAGGAAATAGATCATTTACGGGTAGATGCCTGGAGGTCCCGGTGCCTGTTGTTTGCAGGGGGGTCACCCCACCCCGGCCCCCAGGAAAATGCTCCTCAGTAGTGGGACCCAAATGGGCCACTTCCTGTCCCCTCCGCACCTGCCCACCCTCAGGTGCCCCAGTCCTGGAGCGACCTCCTTCCCAGCATCCCGTCCTCCTGTCGGCCTGGTGTGTGTGTGGGGGGGGCGCCTTTGGGCTCTAGACCCCCTGTGAGGCTCCCCGATGGCGTAGAATCCCCCCTCCCTCCTGGGCCTGGGGTGGGTGGGGCTCAGGGCCTGTTGGGGGCTCTGCCTCCTGACCCCATGGCTGCCTGCTCAGGCCGGGCAGGGGCCCACAGACCGCACCTGGGAGCCAGGGCAGGAGACCCTCCGGCCTGTTCTCCGCTGCCTCACTGGGGCCCCGTCCCTTCCAGGCCCCTCCCACGGCCTCCCATCTGTCTCTGCTTTGGCGGGAAACCAGGCTCAGGCATCAGATGCTCCCGCGGGAACCCCAGTATTTTCAGGGAGCGAACACGTCAGAGTCCACGAACGGCACGTGCCTGGGCCTCTGGAGCTTGAGATGAATAAAACCGGATGACGCATTTTAAAATAATATTTTACTGACTTCAGAGAGGAAGGGAGAGGGAGGGAGGGAGAGAGAGTTCAGTGATGAGAGAGGATCATGGACCGGCTGCCTCCTGCACGCCCCACACTGGGGATCGAGCCCGCAGCCGGGCCTGTGCCCCGACCGGGAATCGAGCCCTGAGCTCCTGGTTCATGGTCGACGCTCACCACTGAGCTTCGCCGGCCGGGTCCAGACGATGCTCCGGACTGTGGGGCCTGCGTGGGGCCGGGCTGGGAGGTTCTCCCTCTGCGTCT